CAACCTAAATAATTCTATGATTCTATGAAGCTGTGCTTTCAGTTTTCCCCTCTTCGTGGGCTGGGTGGGCAGTAGGAAATGGGAATCTATTTCTCCACTCTGGAGACCCCAGTTCTGCTTAGGACTTTTCTGAGCTGCTCCTTAGACCCTGCACACACAGAGATGCCCCTGGCTGGTGCTCTGCTGCCAAGAGGGGTCTGCAGGGCAGAGCTGAGCACACAGTGGGTTGGATGGAGTCTGTGAGCACTGGCAGGGATGAAACATGGGGACAGAGAAACAGCTCCTGGCACTGACAACTCCCAGCAGCAGATATGGGCAGGGAGTGAGAGGGGAGCTGCTCCCAGAAAAGCCGGGGGAGGGGGGATTAGGGCACCTCCCTGACATCCCCTGCCATGCCCTGCCATGCCAGAAACCTTCCCCGGTGCAAGTCCCTGGTCTCCTCTCCCACACAGCAGAGCTCTAGGAAAAATAGCATAGATTTTGTCCAGAGTAGCCAAACCTAAAAAGTTTATTGTCTTTTCCTCCATGGACAGTGCTAATGCCCAGCAGGACCAGATCTCCAACAGCAACTCCATCACCCAGTTCCTCCTCCTGGCATTCACAGATATGTAGGAGCTGCAAATCTTGCACTTCTGGCTCTTCCTGGGCATCTCCTTGGCTGCCCTCCTGAGCAACGGCCTCATCATCACTGCCATAACCTGTGACCACCACGTCCACACCCCATGTACTTCTTCCTCCTCAACCTCTCCTTCCTCGACCTGGGCTCCATCTCCACCACTATCCCCAAAGCCATGGACAATTCCCTGTGGGACACCAGGGCCATCTCTGACTTGGGATGTGCTGCACAGCTCTTTCTGTTTGTTTTTTTTATCACAGCAGAATTGTATCTTCTTACTGTCATGGCCTATGACTGCTACGTTGCCATCTGCAAACCCCTGCACTATGGGACCCTCCTGGGCGTCAGAGCTTGTGTCCACGTGGCGGCAGCTGCCTGTGGCAGTGGGTTTCTCAATGCTCTCCTGCACACTGCCAATACATTTTCACTACTGCTTGGCAAGGGCAATGCTGTGGGCCAGTTATTCTGTGAAATTCCCCAGATCCTCAAGCTCTTTTGCTCAGACCCCTAGCTCAGGGAAGTTGGGCTTCTTGTGGTTAGTGTCTGTTTAGCATTTGGGTGTTTTGTTTTCATTGTGCTGTCCTACGTGCAGATCTTCAGGGCCGTGCTGAGGATCCCCTCTAAACAGGGATGGCACAAAACCTTTTCCACATGCCTCCCTCACCTGGCTGTGGTCTCTGTGCATGTCAGCACTGGCATATTTGCCTATCTGAAGCCCCCCTCCATTTCCTCCCCAGTTCTAAATCTGGTGGTATCATTTCTATATTTAGTGATGCCTCCATCAGTGAACCCCTTCATCTACAGCATGAGGAACCATGAACTCGAGGATTCCCTGAGGAAACTTACGATGTTTTTAAGCAGCAATAAACTGCCCATCTTCTTCTGCACATTTCGTTGCACACGTAATGTAACTCATTATAGACTGAGACTATCTTTGGTAACTTGGTTTTAGCTTTTCTGAGTTGTAATAATGCTGTCCACAAAAAAAGTATCCTTCTTCATGCTGGTTCTGTTTCAGTATCCACCTGTTTTTTATGATCCATGGACTGTGCAAATGAGGAGCCGTGCTCTCTGTGTGTTTAAACAAAATAAAGGACCCTGCAGCGACTTGTTTGTCTGAGATCCTTCCCCTGAGACCTTTGTAAAGCTGCAGGTGAAGAACCTTGGTGCAGAGGTGGAGAGGAAAAACAGCTCTGGCACAGCAGCACTGCCAAGGAGACCAGTTTCTGGTCTTTCCCAAGTGGCTCTCTTTCCAGTTCCACACTCTCCTTCTTAGCCAGCAAAACCACTACAGTGGACTTCCAGAGGGCGGACTTTGGCCTACTCAGGACACTGGTCGAAAGGGTCCCTTGGGAGGCAGTCCTGAAGGGCAGAGGGGTCCACGAAGGCTGGACGTTCTTCAAGAAGGAGGTCTTAAAGGGACAGGAGTGGGCTGTCCCCATGTACCGTAAGAAGAACAGGCGAGGAAGATGACCGGCCTGGCTGAATGGGGA